AGGGCAGTGTCACTGGCCCTCATATGTGGGATCCGAACCGGGGCCCTCTGGCGTCCCAAGCCAGTTCTTAACCATCGCGCCACTGGGCCGGCCCACAAAAAATTTCTTAACGTGCTAAATACAATAACAGAGTTTTTGTCAACTCTCAGCTTTTATAGATTTAACTAACTTTCTTGCCATAATTTTTATGCCCATATTAAATTTCCTTTCAGCTATATATACATTGTGTTTGTTTTTAACTGTGTGATGTTAATAGGAGTAGTATAATATTATAGCATGTCTATGATTTGTAATTTCTAAACTGTATTACTACACTTTCCTGGTGTATGTTTTTATAGAAAATTTCCTTATAAAATTAGGATGTCTTGGATAACTACTTATCTTATATTTATTTACATGCCGGAAAATATAGTATCTCAGGTTCTTATCCAGTAATCTGTAGCTATAGAACATTGCTTGAATTTTTTACTTCAGTTTTATATACTTGCTATTTATTTATTTTTAGGTTTTTTAAGTTTTTATCTTTGTGTTTACAGTTGCCCTTTTTCCTGTTGTCATGTGTAATCTATTTCAGTGTACTTCTCCTATTTACTGGGGTTGTAGGGAGTGGGTCTCAGGTAATTTTATGGTGTTATATTGTTGTATAGAGTTGACATATTGGGCCTGTTTCAAAATATTGGTGATCCAATCATTTCATTTACTATCAGGATGTTTAATAAGGTCCATTGTTTTTGCTTTTAATATATTAAAAGTGAATCTTTTTGATATATTCTTCATGTATCCATTTTTATCACTGTCTATCTTTGTACCTTATTTCTGTGTTTATGGGTTATGTTCATAGGTATGTACAGTTTACTTAGAATAATTTTTTGAGTAAAATAGAAAATTTTTCTAAGACTAATTTTTTAATTGAAATTAGGTAATCAACTGGGAAATGGTTTTAAATACAATTGATCTTTTCTAAATGGAATTAAGAGGTTTTAATTTGTTTAATTTATTTCTTCAACATTTAATCATGCTCTTGGTACCATTTTCACTAAATTTGTTAGTTTTTTAGATATTCTTAGATTTTCTCCTTCATTTGTCATTTAGGCAGCATTTAAATGTATTATCCTTTTTTGCACATTTGATTACCGTACTGTTTATAGTATGCAATTCTCATTTGAGATTGGGAATCATTTTTTAAAAGTTTCAGTTGAAAATGGGATTTTAAATTCTATTACATATAATATATGTAAATATAAATATGCATATTAAGAGTACATTCATTTCTGTAAACAATAAAAACCGAGTTTTTAAATTAGGAAAGTTATAACCAAAGTGAAATTCTCTAGGACTGTCATAAATTTTGTAAAGATCTTTTAACTTCCTGTTGTTAAATAATATTATTTATTTCAAGTTTATATAAATATATTGCTCACAGGTCTTTTAAAGAAAAATCTATTTCAAATGTATAGTATTTTATTGTAAGCTGAGTATTTATAAAGTCTTTATTGAAATGCTGCTTACTGTTCGCTATTCGCTATTGTAGTTTTACTGCCATTCAGATACCATTTTGAAAGCAAAATGTTTGCCAATAACATATTGGTTCTTTTCCCCCTCTTTTCCCAGTTTTTATAGTGTGTCTAAAAAAGCAACCCTTTTTTTCATAGATTTACAGATGCTGCTAGTTAAATGAAACTGAAACTTCCAAAGAGAGAGTATCTTCATCTCTCTCAACCTTGCATTAAACTAATTGCTGTCTTTGGGTGACTGCTTGCCACTATCTGTTTTGGAGTCACAAGCCAGTGGCCACAGGTGAATGAACCTGGCTTGAAAATGTGCTTCTATTGTATAAGCACATACTTTAAGTAAAAAAAAAAACAACAAAAAACTAAAGTCATCTGTTGGACCTCCGGTAGTGCATGTAGATGAGAAGATTATGTATGCTAGAATTCTTACATATTGACAAAACTCAATATAGGCATTTTTTGTTCACTTGATAGTATCAACGTATAAACTAATTGAAATAATATTTTTTAGACCTATGTGAAAAGCCAGGATAAACAATTTGCAGCAGCCACTATTCAAACTATAGGCCGATGTGCAACCAACATCTCAGAAGTCGCTGACACATGTCTCAATGGCCTGGTGTGTCTGCTGTCCAACAGGGATGGTGAGTTGACAGTTTTATTTTATTTTTCAAGTAATTTATCATTTGAATATTCTTGGTATGACATTGCATTTTATTTTTTTCTGTATATCAGTAGCATGAACATGATGAGTAGCATTTTATCTTTGAAACACACATACACAATTTTTTATTGTTGTTTTAGTAAATGAGATAATTAACTTGAAAATTGTATTATTCTTATCTAAACAAAGCTAAGAAAGTGTAATTTGTTTATTTTATTTCTTCACAATTTAATCACCTTCATTGTACCTTTTTTGAAAGGTTCTATTTTACTGCTTTTCAATGGCATGTAAGTCTTGTATAATATTGGTTTACCTGCAGAGGGTGCTAAAAGCAGGCAAATGACTTCATAACATGGAGAAGTGGCTAGATCAAAAAAGTATGTTGAATGTGTTACCTTCAAAGTTTTTTCCCAGAAATCCACCTAATAATTTTATATTCAAGATTAACTAGATTTAGAAGTCATCAATTTGGAACAGCTTCATGTTTTTAAACCAAACAATATCTAAACATTTTATAAAATTGGATAGGTAAAATATGTAATCTAGATTTCATACTGCTCAGGTAAAATGTCAATTATTTCTATGGTGTTTAGAATAAATTAGGCCATTTCAAGAAAGAAAAATGAGTCAGCTAACTTTCACTTTTAAAATAATTTATTTAGCGTATTATTATAATTCTATTTGATTAACATGATATTCTTTTTAAGAAAAGCATAATTTTCAGTGTAAAATCATTAAAATATTTGTGGAATTCTAAATACAACTTTGTCATATCTAGACACAAGCATATATGACATAGCAGCCATAAGTTTAACATATCAAAATTGATTATTTTTTATATCTTATTTCAAAGTAAAATAGCTTTTCACTACAATAACTCTATTATCCCCAAATATCTATTCCCATGTAGTATAGATCTCTTTAGAAAACTGTAACATTGTTGTAAGTACTGCTGATGAAAAAATTGAAACAATTTATCCTCAAATAAGAGTCATTTTTATTGTGAATATAAAATTATAAACTTTTATCTATAAACTCAAGCTATTATGATGGGTAGAACATTTTTCTGCGTGCAGCATTAAAACTCTAAGTGGCAAAAATTATCAGGGATATAGATTTTTTTTTTTAAATTGACTGTAGAATGTAAGAGCAGATAGGATGCTAAATGTCATACATTTTACCTATTTCTACTTTTAATAACATCCTTTTTTATCTATTTCTACACCACACCTTAAATTGTGTTAAAAAGCATGTTTTTATTTTCCTATACCTTTAAGAATTACTTATCTGATCAAATAAGACATATTTCTTGAGAAAATATGTCCAGGATATTATAGATTTTAAATATTATAGATACTTTAGATGATATGATATGTTCTTTTAAAATTTAGTTGCATACAAAAAAGCACCACAAATTAATTAGAACACTGATGAGTTCTTTCAAATACAAAATATATTCAAGATTTCTCAATTTTATATTTTAATTCTTTTTGTCATGTGAAATTTTCAGGCTGTGGATTATAATGCAATCTTTTCCACTTCAGCTTTGTAACACATTAATTTCTCAAAAAAAATTTTTTTCTTGACTGATTTAAAAGATGAATGTTCTACCCCTGTAGCACTTTTAAAGGAAGAATAGATTATTTTATAATTAGATAATGGGAGGCTAAAGTAATTTATAATCACTCTTAAAAGTAGGAGGATTTACTAATTTAAACTCTGATATTTCAATGTTTAGGCTTTTTTTTTTTTTTTTGGTAAATTAAAACTCTCTTTATAACCATGGATTTTTTTTCCTGCAGTCTGATTATTAACAAACTCATAGATACATAGAACAAATTGAGTGTTGCCAGATGGGAGTAGGGGTTGCAGAATGGGAGTAGGGGTTGGAAGGCTGGGTGAAAAAGGTGAAAGGGATTAAGAAGTACAGATTGCCAGGTATAAAAATAATCGTGGGCATGTAAAGTACAGCATAAGGAATGTAGTCAATAATACTGAATAACTGTGTATGGTGTCAGATAGGTACTAGACTTACTGGGATAACCACTTCGTAAGGTATATAAATGTCTAATCACTATTTTATATACCTGAAACTAATATAGTATTGTATAGCAATTATAATTGAAATAGAAAAGAAAAGAAAATGACGATGATACCTGCCATATGTTATTGTCAGAAGAAAAAGAAATGTGGCATTTATTTACATAAAACATGTAAAGATGAATTGATCATTTACATAAAGAAGTATATAATTTGAAGTATGTTTAATAATGATTAGAATGGAAAAAATGTTGCTTATATTCTTAATGGGAGCTAGATAAGAAAATAAAGAAAAATAGTAAACTCAAATAATGATATTTCCAGTATAGTATTAAAGTAAACCTTTAAAGTTTATACCAGGGGAATATCGAAAATCAATGAGTCCCTATTAATAAAAAATGCCAAAGTAATACTTAAAGGCAGTGTTGGTTTATTTCTTTGGCATCTGAAGCATTTGTAGTTGTTTATTTAAGATTCATTCCATAAGGTCAGGTGCTCTGGCTAGTTACATTTCTCTACTGGTGCCACCAAAACCTTAACTCAGACTAGTGATTAGCCACTTCTGTGTGATAAGTCAGTCTCAGAATCCCAGTTTGAGGGTCTGCTTCCTGGAGCCATTCCCAATACCAATTACTGTATTCGTTAAGGCTAGGAACAGTGAGAAGCCATACCTAAAACTGAAGGGAAGGGGTGTGAGGAGTGAGAGCAGTTACCAGACCCTGCAAGAGAGAGCCAGTCACAGGGACGGAAACCTTCAGTAGAGGCATGCCAGCACTGCCAGGGAAGCCTGGCACAAGAGAGATTCAGGACAATAAATATTCTCTCCTCTTGCCCCCTGATCTCCTGCTGGTGCTTCCTGTTAGCTAAACATAGCTGGAAGCCAGGGCAAGGAAGTCTGGTTGATGCAGTCCACAGAGGTCAGCCTCTAGGGACACAGAATTGGGCCAGAAAAGTCAGAATGGATTCATGGGACCAATGGAGACAATCCAGCTCACAGCCCAACTCCTTCTGGTTCTGAAGCCCATGCTATTTCTATAGCAACGCCTTTCCTACTGCTGCTAATCCTTACTGCTCACTTTTCTGGACATATCAATTAAGGACTGCTTTTTAATTTTTTTTTAGTTTGCTGTTATTTTTAGTTTACTGTTGTGGTTTTTTTTTTTAGAATTGGAAAAAAAATGTTATTTAGATTGTAGGTGTTTGATTACCACTGTATAATTAGTAGGAATCAAATAACAGTATTTGAGAGGTCTGGTTAAAAGCCAAAGACACTTGAACATTATGGTGATTACATGATCTAACTTCACTTTGTTTTTCTGACTTAAAGAAGCAGAGATTAGAAAGGGATATCAGAAGCCAGGAGACAGTAACAGATGTTAGAAATTAAAGTATACTCCTCTACTTAAGATGCATGTTCACCTAAAAAACTTGGAAGGACATTCATGATTATAGTTTTCACCTAGCCATTTAAGACAGATAGAATGTTTTGCTAATTTAAATTTACACTTTACCAAGGATAATTTGAATTGAATTACACATATTTAATACGAATAATCTCTTTTTCAGAAATAGTTGTTGCTGAAAGTGTGGTTGTTATTAAGAAATTACTGCAAATGCAACCTGCACATCATGGTGAAATTATCAAACATATGGCCAAACTCTTGGACAGCATCACCGTGAGTACCAATTAAGAGATCTGTGCTGAATTCAGCTGAATTTTTACTCAGTAAATTGTGGTTTTGTTAAAATAAATGTGCATCCTAAAGCATAATGGTTAAGAGAGCTGAATTGTCTGGATTCAAATCCTGGTTGTAAGGTTCCGCACTGTTGTGGAAGGGAATTACAAATCTGAAAAAGAGGAAAGATACAATAAGTACAGCAATACTGGATTGGAATTAGAATGTTAGCTTTACCTTCCTGGGTTTTTATGTAGATATCAAGGTGTGTGTGAGTGTATATCTGCATGTATGTGTGTTTCTACACACATTAGTGTGTACACTTATGAATGCTTAATTGAGGTATACAGACATCTATTTCCCACGGCTGTCCGTTGAGAAGGACAAAGCCTCCATGCAATAGTACCCCAGTAGCAATGAGTACACTGAGTGCTCAGATCTTGTGTTGTTTTGTTTTAATTGTGGTATACTTTCATACCATAAAATACACCCTTTCCAAATACATAATTCAGTGTTTTTGGTATATTCATAAGGCAGTACAACCATCGCCACGGTGTAATTCCAGAACAGTTTCATCATCTTGTACCTCAAAGTCCTAATCCTTCCTTTGCTCTCTAGCCCTTGACAACTATCTGTCTACTTTCTGTCTCTGTGGATTTGCTCCTCCTGGACATTTCATGTAAATGTAGTCTGACAGTAAGGTGGCTTTTGTGTCTGGCTTCTTTCACTTACCATGTTTTATTGAAGGTTCATGCACATTGTAGAATACAATACTGTATTCCTTTTCATAGTAGACCTTGGTTTTTAAATTCCATTCACCACTCAGAGGAACCAGAGTTCCTTAGAGAAATGGCTGATTTCAGATACAGGGTATAGAGAGAACAAGATGATCTTGCAACATCTTATTGGGCCAAAAGAAGCAAGGACGTGCTCTCAAAATGATAAAGACATATCAAAAAGACAGAAGAGCCAGCTTGTAGGGGTTTCCACTGACCAGTTTGAGCAACAAAATGCATGATAGTAAACGGATTACAACCTGTTGAAGAATCTCTGAGTCCACACTAGAATGAATGAATGACAGAGTAAGGGAGAAAGGGAAGCTCTTCCTTACAATGCAAAAACTAATAAATACAGAAGGAGTGATGGAATTTGAGTATCACCATTTTCTAGCCATTAGAGCAACAATTGATTCAGGCAAGATTCATTAGCAAATGCTAAACACTAGAAAATTTGAGTAGTAACAGGATGTCTGCACAATCTCAAAGTGTATCCTCACAAGATATTTCTTAATTACAATGGGTAAATTAATGACTTGATTTTATAATGGAGAAACTGCAGACACTACTGGAACCAAATGAATGTAGTTAACATTGCCAGCAACGTCATCACGTACCTTCTAAGATACACTGAATAGAACTCAGCATCAAGTCAGTTGAATTCCTGCCAAAAGTGAATGGCTTGAGTCTAGTCAAGAGGAAACAGACAAAACCAAATGTGGGTGTTCTATAAAATAACTGGCTTATACTTGTATTTTGAAATGCCAGTATCATGAAATGGAAAGAAAAACTCAGGAACTTTCTCAGAAAGAGTAAAAGAGTAAAAGAGATGACAATTCTATGTAACACATAATTTTGGACTTTCTTTTGTGTAAAGGATTTTATAGGGATAATTAGCAGAATCTCAATAAAATCTATAGATTAAATAATAGTATTGGTTCAGTGTTTAATTTCCTGATTTTTGAATAATTTACTGTGGTTATGCAAGAACATTTCTTTTATTAGGAAATTTACACTGAAGTATTTTGAGGATAAGAGCATGTCTACAACTTTCGATTCAAAAACCAAAGTGTGTTTGTATACATAAAGAGAAAGCTAGAGCAAATGTAGTAAAATGTTAACATTTGGGGAATCTGGATGAAGGAAGGGTATTCAGAAATTCTTTTCACTCTCCTTTCACATGTTCTATAAATCTGAAGTTGTTTAAAAATTAAATTAAAATACAGATATTCATCTTGGCTCTGCCACTCGCTACCAGCTCCACGTCCTTATGTTAAAATCTTCATGCTTCACTTTTCCCATCTATACAATGGTGATAGTAAAAGAACCAATATTGTTGTAATTGTTGCATTAGTTAATGTATGTAAAGGTCTTAGAATATTGCCTGGTATGCAGTAGCACTGAGTGGTAACTGTTATTATTATACATGTCCTATTTTGTTTTCTTCTTCCTTTTAAAACTAAAGTTTTTGAAAAAATTATCTGAGAAGAATTTTATTTCCTTACCTCACATTCCTCAACCCAGCACAGTCTGATTTTTGACTCCTCACTTTTTCCACGTCACTATCTCCTTCTTATTAAATCCAGTGGATAATTTGCTGTCCATATCTTTCTTGGTCTTTTGTTAACATTTGATTTCACTGACTACTTCTCTTTTGAAACATTCTCCGTGGCTTCTGTCTTTTCTTCAAATTCTTCTCCATTGTGTTTGCCTTTTATTATGAGTTGCCCTAGAACGTTGGTTAAAGTTTGACAACTGATGTTGTATAACTGAAGGGTTGTATTTTAGGGGAGGAGTATATCACTTCTTTCTTTAAAGATGGGGTAATCTATACTCAGCCTGTTCAGAGGGATTATATTTGTGTGATCAGGACCAATGTTTAATGTCTCTGGTGGCAAAATTTTCTTTCCCTTGGGATTATGTTGAAGTTTGCAGGGCAGTTATCCATTTGTCCTAAAGCTAACAATAAGACTCAAAAGGAGTCAGTTAGTATCTGAGCGTCAACCACATCTCTCACCAGAGTTCCTTTGTCTTCATATCTACACTTGTTATTGATTAATTATCAAAATTAGGACTTCTGGAACAGATTATATATGAGAGCTATAGGGATTAAGAGAGTGATTTGAAAACAAGGTGACTTGGGTTCAGATTCAGTCTCTACCTTTTACTTACTACCTTTGTGAACTTAAGCAAGCTATTCGACTTCTGTGCTCCAGTTTCTCATCTGTAAAATGGGAACAGTAGTACTAGTAACTTTATAGACCTATTGTGAGAAATAAATGAGTCAATGTAGTGAAACACTTGACAGTACTTAGTGTTAGCTGTTAGTATGATCATGGCTATATTTAATGTTTTTGAAAAAAATTTAGTAAGTGATCTTGTGCCCCCTTTTATATTTTTCTTACTTATTTAACATAAGTCCTGTAATGCTAATCATATGCCAGGCACTATTCTAAGCACCTTAAAAATAAAAATAATTTTCCTAACAAATCTGCAAGGTAGGTTCTATTAGCGTCCCCATTTTACATAAGAGAAAACTGAGGCACAGAGAGGTTAAGTAACTTGCCTAAGGTCACAGAACTAGTACGTCTGCTTTCTTAACCAGCACGTTATGCTATTTCTCTTCCATTTCTAGTCTATCTCTTTTTTTGTATTCAATTCACTTTTCTACTCCCTGAGTGGGCCAGGATTTTATTATTGTTTCCTTTTGCTTCCCTCAAATCACTGACAAATTGGGCATTAGATTGACATGGTCTGTGTTTGCCCAAATGTGGAACAGTTGTTTCACATTATTTGTCAGTGATCTGTTGACAGGAGATGAGGGCATAAACCTGAGATAGACATCTAGCATCCCTGTGTACCAAGCATCACATTTCAGTAGTATGTTTAGTCATTGTAACAACCACAAATACTCCTACACATATTTAGATACCTTCTAGGGAAGTGGTACATCCATCAGCAAGAACCACTTTTCTAACCAATAACTAATGAACCAAAGCAGGGAACTCTAGATAGAGGAAAACAAAGAACAGAGATACATACATGGGTATTGTATGTATATATTTACTCAAATAATTAAATGTATAAGGATAGACTAGGAATGTCTAAAAAAAGTACTAAATGGAAAAGCTTGAAAAGGGGCATAATGTAAGGGAAATTCTAATAATATGTATCTAAAAATATTGAGCAGCCTTAGAAAACCTAGGGGTAGGATGAGATTAGAAAGAATAGACAGTGTTTTGAAGGTCTTATGGGAGGAAGAAAATGGAGGGAGGTAACATTATTATAATCTTATGTCAAAAAGTTATAAGGTAAAAATAGATTATCTTGGAGTGAACACAGTGGGTTTTGATGGAGGGAAATAGTTAATATCTTGTTTACAAGGAATGGTGGAGAAACATGTGTCTGATTATGAGAGGGGAATAGAAATGTGGAGTTCTCTATTTCCAAACATCTTTTGTAGAATTTAGTTAAAACTTGCACTAGTAAACTTGTTCTGGTCTTGTTAGAAAGAGAGAGGCAATTACAGGAAGTATTAGGGTTTTCAGGTGACTATAGCTGCTTATATACAAAACCTGGGGTGAGAGAACATTTTTGATTGTATAGATTTTCTCTACAGTTGTTGCTGTAATATTAGCCAAGTGAATATTTTCTTACAGCTCTATATAGCAAAGCCTGTGGTTTTTTTGGTTGTTGTTTGTTTGTTTTTGTCAGAAGATAACCATTAGTAGAATATAAAAGTATGGTGGAAATTCCAAAATCACAAAGGGGAAAGAAAAGGAAAGAGAAATATTAAATAAATAATTTTTTAAAAACAATAAAATAAGATGGAAGAGTGAAAATCAAATATATCCTAGCCTAAATATGAATGGACTGAATTCTCTCATTAAAAGACAGACTTTCAAATTGGAGTGAAAAACAAAAAACTACCGTA